AGTGGCAGCACTCATCACAGAGGCTCCCGGGCACCTGAAATGTGGCCCATGAGCCGCCTCCTTAAACTTCACCTTAATTAATTTGAATTTAAACTCACAGCCCCGTGTGGCTGGGGGCGCTGCTGAGTGGGCCTCTGAGACTGGTGGGCACTGGTGCTGTGGGGGAGCCATGCCCTCTCCCTGGTGGCCTCCCCGGCCGGCCGGGCACCTGCTTCACTGCAGGGTCCTGCACACACCTGCGGAGGCCGCCCAGGGCCCTGGAGGGCCTCCAGCCCCCAAGCTGGCGGCCKGGACACTCCCTCAGTCCACCAGGAGGTGGCGGTACCTGGCAGGCGCTCCGCCCCCTCAGAACAGACTGACAGTCGGGGACACAGGCAAACTCCTTGGAACGGAACCCACCCGCGGACAGAGCAGGGCCGGGCACACTTCTGAGCCCCGCCCGAGGGAAGTCCTGGCCAGGTGGTCCTCAGCGAGGAGTGCCCAGGGTCCAGGGGTCCCCAATGAGGACGTCTGCGGGCTCCAGGAGGTCACCTGCAGAGAACCGCACSGCGCTCTCCAAGGTCCTGAAGATCCCGCCGCCGCTGCACCAGAGCCCCGAGGCGGTGGCCTCTCCCGCCAGGACCCTGCGCCCTGGGCAAAGCGACCCATGAGGGTCTACCGTGGACACTCCGCAGGCGTCCCTCCTAGCACTCACAGACCTGGACGTACTTGTCATTTAAAGGCACAAAAGTTCCACAAAAATCACGAGCTCGAGGCGGATGGCTGTTTAGACTCGGGAACTGARGAAGGCCAGGCCCCAGCCTCCCAGGTCCCCTCTCCCCAGGCCCCGAGAGCACGCGGCTGGGGCCCCCTCCTGCCTCCTGCCACCCTGAAGGCTGGCATCAGCCGGGACTCCCGCCAGCACCCTGCCCCCCACTGCCTCAGGGGCCCACAGAGGAGCTGGTAGAGGGGYGCTGCTCACCAAACCCCCTTCCCAGCTGTGAGGGGAGGCCACCTGCTCACCTCCCCCCCTCGCCACGGAGCCCCTCCACACCCCACCCGTGGCTGAAAGAGCATCACTGAGAATGGCCTGCAGGAGGGCTCTCGTGCTCTGCTCTGGGAGGAGCATCTACTGGTGCAGTGTCTGTGTCCAGGGCACGCTTCCTCCTGACCTGGGTGTCTGGGCTTCAACAAGCACCAATACTACACCAGTGGGCAGTTCATGTTGGGTGGAGGAGAGGACGGGGCTCTGTCCACAGGCACTAGCCGCGCGCTGCATTTCCCACGGAAGCGAGGCGTGCCCCCCGGGAGCCGGCGGAACTCCCCGGGCAGGCTGCAGGGAGCAGAGCACGGGGTGAGGGTGCAGCCACGGGGAGGGGGCACATGGCCGCTGGGGGCGGGGTGGGGACTGTGGCAGGTGTGTTGTGCGCGTGTGTGCGCAGGCGCCTGGGTGGCTCGTCGGGCTGTGGGTGGGTGTGATTTGTGTGGGTGAGGAGTCTGGGCCAGGGAGCGGCCCTGCGCAGGAGGGCGAGAGGCCGGGTGTGAGTGACTCATACCTCTCAGGATGTGGGCGGGATTATCAGAGGGGGTGACTTTTAGTCCCAGGGTTCTGCGTCCACAGCGCCCAGGAGGCACATCTACCTGCACAGAAAGCACAGCATCTAGCGAGCGGGGAGGCACGGGGGACTCAGGGCCCCAGGGACAGGTGGGGTAGCAGGCCTGCACTTGGGCACTGCACCCAGAGGGAAGGAGAGATGGGAAAGAACAGGAATTCCACACGAGCGAGTGGACAGAGGGGGCCTGAGCCACCCTGAGCGTGGACCCGGCCCTCCCTCCCCCACACTCCTCACTGTGAGCGCTGGCTCCCCAGCCAGGATGGGACCTGCGGGGTCACCTCTGCAGGTGTGGAGCCAGGAGCCCGACACGGCCCAGGCACTGCAGCCTGCTCATGTGTGCACGGGCACCCCATCATGCCTGGCCAGTGGCTCTAATGGCCATCACAGTGGCACCAAGGACGGCCCACAACAGGCGTCTGCTGCATTCCTGCAGGTCCACCTGCACACAAAGGGCCACTCCTGGCCACTCACAGCTCTGTCACCAGCCCTCTGCAAACTGAGGAAACCAGCTCAGAGAGGTTAAGTGACTTGCCCAAGGCCACAGCACGGAGCTCCAGCAGGGTCAGGCTCCAAGGCCAGRTGGCAGATTCTGCGGGAGCGTCTGCCCTGCCGCCCAGGCTCAGGCACACCACGCAGGCAGGCGGTGGGAGCTGCTCGGCTCACTTAAGAGCAGCGCCTGCCTGAGCCGGGGGAGGGTGAGCCGGAGGAGGAGCTGGCACAAGTGTCCCCAGCTGAAGCGCAGTCCACACCAGCCCCAGCTCAACGTGCTGCATTCTCCGTGAGGCCGCGTTTCCCCAAGTCAGCACTGGAGCTGGGCTAAAGTTCGGGAGCTCTGCAGTTGCTGTCCCCAAATTCCCACCTCCTGGACAAAAGCCGAGTGGACTGGCGGTGGGACCTTCCCTCCTGAAGGCTCCGTCTGCCCCTGACACAGGAGGGAGAAGGCGGCAGGTGACCACACCCCACTGTGGACACAAACAGACTGCCCAGGCATGCAAGTCCTGAGTGGTCACTCCATTCCCGTGAGAGGCTGGGACTACATTCAGAGAACTAGCCCCAGATGCCTGAGCCTGGTCATCCCTGGGCAGAGGGTCAACTCAATGTTCCCTCATGCTAGGTGGCCAGCCAAGAGGGAGGACCATCCCTGAAGCTGGCACCTGTGCTCCCGCCTCAGAGCGCCTACAGGAGGCCCGAGGACCACAGTCCCTTGAGGCAAGGTGGATATGCCCGGCAGCTGGCAGGAAGGTGGGGTGGGAACGAGGGGGCGTGGCCCCGGACAAAGGGAGCCTTTGCTGCCCCAGACTGGAACCCAGGACTCCAGCAGTGTGGACAGCTAGGCTCACTGGCCTGGCCTGTACAGCGGGCAGGACAAAGCAGGACACACAGGAAGCACTCTGGGGACTGGCTGGGCGCAGGGCTGGAGAGCCCAAGGAGGTGGCCCCGAGAACCTGCCCACATCAACCTCGAAGGCACGAGCTCACAGCCAGCCCACAGATGCTCCCTCCCCGCAGATTCGCCAGGGAGTCTCCACTCTTCTCCCAAACAGAAGCTCCCTGAGGGCAGGGATGCCAGCCGCTGGCTTACTGCTGTGTTCCCACAGCCCGGAGCACCTGGTCACAGCAAGTGCCCAAGAGGTATTTGTTCAATGAGGGAAAGAATTCCTCAGGCCACCGGAGCTGCTCCAGGCCTGGGGACATGTCTTCACCCCAGGAAATTCCTACCAGCGTCACAGGCCAGGAGAGGCCAAGGCCTCCTCCCACCTGCCCAGTGCACCTGGCCTGCCCCAGGACACGGAGCACACTCTGGAGCAGTCACCCTCACTGGGAGCCCCTCTGGAGGACAGTTTTGCAGAGCAGTCCAGCCGGAGCCCTGGGGGCGACAACTGCCCCGGGCTCCCCCAGAGCCCAGCTGGGAGCGCCAGCCTGCCTGCCTGCCTGCCTGCCTGCCTCTGCCACCCACCACTGCTGCCAGGCCTGCGTGTGCAAGCGCGCGCACGCACACACACACAGGCCCACGCCTGGCTCCGAAGCCTGGCTCCGAAGCAGGGCTGCCCGCTCCCTCCTGGCCCTCAGGCCCAGGGGCCGCGGGGCTCCATGAAAACAGGAGCAGGGGCCTCCTGGGACGGGCTGGGCCTGGAGCCGGCAGGCGGGCAGGCACATTATATAATTAACTGCCCAGACTCCGCCTCCTCTTTGGGTAATAACGAGCCCTGCCTTTCAGTTGCATAAGCCAAAATAATAATTACTCTCCAGCCCTCCATCACTCCTGGATGAGGAGGAGCAGAGCTCTGGGCTTCCTGCAGGAGGCTCGGGCACAGGCAGGCAGGGCGAGCACAAGACGCTCACGCTCATGATTTTATCCCCAGCAGAAGCACAAGTCATTGCTGCGTCTCACTCCCTTCCCAGGCATCCAGGCCTGCAAAACAGCAGAGCCGCCCTGAGGGAGGCGGGAGCCACCTCGGGGCCAGAGCTCCCGGTGGGGGAGGGGCCGTGGGCCCGCCTGGGTTTGGGTCTGGCTTCTGAGACCAGTCGCTATGGCTCCCTGCTTCTCAGAGGCATGGAGTTGTGGGTACTGGAGAGTCCAGGCAAGAGGGCAGCTGCCAAGCCAGCCAAGGCTTCCTGCACAGAAACCATCTTACAGGCAGTTCACTGGCTTCCGGCACCTGGCTCTGTCCGGGATGTGGTGGCATCTTAGAATGAAGACCCAGGGCCATCCCCCAACTAACGGTAAAAATGGTTCAGCCACTGAAAGGAGAGATTCCTGGGCTCTCGCTAAGCAGATGGCCTCCCTCCTCCCTCCAGCATCCTGCTTCGACAGCGCTAGCCCGCGTCCAACCACCTAGAAGTTTACTGCCTGGCTGTTTTGGTTGGGGTTGGCATCCCCCCCTCTCGCGCTCCCGGTCTCCCTCTCGGTTGGCTAGGGTTGATTCAGGACTGAGGGAGGCCCTGGGCACCGCAGGAAAACAAGCAGAGAAGCTGGAACCTGGCTCCAGCCACACCAGGGGGGCGACCGTGTTGGAGGAAAATGGGCCCTCTCCACCACCCCCTCCGCCCCTAGTGGGTCCCAGAGGTGGCCACCGGCCCAGCCTGGCCTTGCCAGCAGGTCTCTGGCCTGCTCTTGGGTGATGCGCTCATCCACTGCTCAGGCAGCAGCCCTCAGCCTGGCTCTGCTGCTGGAGAGCCCCCGACACCCTGGAGTTGGCACCCTGGCGCTGCCCCCCACCAGGCCTGGGGCAACCTGTAGCCAGGGCCACTGAGGCCTCCAGAGAACCCAAGAAATGCCCTGAGCGCCCACAGTCCAAGGGGAGGGAGAGGCTCAACTTCCCCGGAGATAAACAGAGGGGGGATTGGGGAGGGTCCCTCCTCCGAACCGACCCACCCGGCCCCATCCCGACCCGCGGGCACCTACCTCCATCCGAGTAGGTCTCCGTGCCATAGCCGTCCTGCAGCCCGTTGCTCCAGGTCCCTTCGTATTTGGCCCCGTTGCCCGTGCACTCCCGCACCCCGTAGCGCCCCTTAAATCCGTGCGTCCACTCGCCCTTGTACACCCACTTCCCCTTGCTCTCCAGGCCGATGCCGTGGCGCTTGCCCTGCGCCCAAGTGCCCTGGTACGTGTTGCCGCTGGGCCAGGTGTAGACGCCCAGCACCTCGAAGCCGTGGCTCCACGAGCCGGTGTATTCGCCTTGGCCCTTGGGGCCGGTGCAGACGCCATGGCCGTGCGCCTTGCCGTCCTCCCAGCCTCCGCAGTAGGACCCTCCATCGTCAAAATTAAACCTACCCCCACTGGACATGCATGTAACGCGGCTCGCGAATCCCGCAGGCGGTGAAAAAAACAAGGCGAGCGACGAGCCGGAGTCTTGGTTGGCTGCTGGCTTTTTGTTTTGATTCGCTTTTCGGGGAGCAATGGAGAAGGCAGCGCGGCGCGGCCGGCGCGGCGACTCGAGTCAACGGGGGCGAGTGCTCATTTTCCGCGGCGCCGCGGAGCCTGACCAGCGTCTCGCGCTCCCGCTGGAGACAGGACCGGAGGGGCGGGGGAGGGGAGGGGAGCGGGCGCGGGGGGGCCGCGGGCGGCGGCGGCCCGGCTCCACCTCGGCGCGAGCCCCTCGCCGCGCCCGCCCGCGCTCAGCCCCGGGCCGCAGCCCCCCGCCCGCCCCTGCCGCGCTGCGGGCGCCCGAGGGCGGCGGCGGGGCCCGCGGGCGGCGGCGCGGGCGGCTGCACCATCGCGGGCCGCGGGCCGCCGGGCGGCGGCGGCAGCAGCAATGCGGCGGGTCCGGGGCGGCGGCGGCGGCGTGCGCGCCCGCCCGGCCCCGCCCCGCGCCCCCTCCCGCGGCCCGCGGCCGCCGCCCGAGCGGGGGTCCCGCGCGGCGCCCCGGCCCCCGGCCCCGGCCTGCGTGCGGAGGGCGGCGACCGCGTGACGGGAAGGCGCCCTGGGCCACCGCCCGAGCCGGCGCAGCGGGCCCTGCCACCACCAGGCGCCCGAGCCCGGCCCGCGTGGGTGCCCCGATCCGCCACTCGGACCCGCAAGGCTCGCGGCGAACCACAGGTGGCTTTTGCCTGTGGCCAACAATCCTGCCCTTTTCCTTCCAGCCGCTGCGGTCCCGTGTCGGCGAGGGGCGCGCGATGACCTCCAGAAAACTGCACTTGGTGGGCTCCTTCCCCCCACGAGTTAGGGAAAGTCGGGCCACACGCACAGTTTTGGAGCAGAATCACCCAAATCCCGTGYGCCCTTGCCACAGGTACCCCCCACCCCAGGGCCGAGCGCTTAGGGAGGCTCCCTGGGTCTCCACTCTGGCTCTCTCCACTGGCTCTCCACTGGCTCCCCCCACCGAGAGATGGTGCCTGATTCTTGGATCTGAGCTTCCTGGGGCGGATTTAAAGCGCATTTCCTGGACCATGAATTCGCAGGCAGGAGCCCAGGTCACCAGCTCTGCTAGTAAGGGCAAGGCAGATGGCAGCCGTGGGTGCAGTGGGCTGCAGAAGCAGAGGCGCTAAGGTTGGGCAGCCTCAGGTGAGCCAGGCCAACCAGGGCTCCCTGAGCAGGCAGTGGACCCTGAGACCCAGAGCAGGAGAGGAGGCTGTTCCTGCACCCAGCTTCTCAATGGGGGGCATCACCTTTGGTTAAGAAGCTTTGGAGAAAACCAGCCCCTAGACGTCCACCTCGGCCTCTAGTCCTGGCACAGAGCCCCTCCCTAAAGACCACCAGGCAGGCGGGGGACAGGGCCTCCCTCCCTGGCTGGGGCTGTGTGAGGAGCACTCTCTTCTGCCATTTATGCACTTTCTAGCTAGCTCTTCTGGTTCTCAGGAGTTCCTCTAAGTGCTGGTAGGCAGACATGTTGGGTCCTGTGCCCTTGGGTCTTATTGGAAGTGACCAGACTGCTCCCCAGTCCACCCAGAACCTTTTACCTCTCACCCACAGTGTAACTGTCCAGTTCTGCACTTTAACTGGCTGGCGTTGGAGATGATCTCTTATTTTGTTTCAGCGTACTTTATCTAAATGGGTATGGAATAGTATTTCAGGGCTGTTTGGTACTAATTAAAAATTATATGTTGTGACTATGTGGGCAACAGGCTAAATACTTGTCCTAGCAAAATTTAGGTTTGAGTCCTGATCTCAGGGCCCTCCAGCTGTGTGGCTTTGGACAGTCACTTAACATCTCTGAGCTCAGTTTTCTTGTCTATAAAATGGTGATAACACGGATTCCCTCAGGGTTGCCGTGACAATTCAAGGAGCAGGCTATGGGCACCTAGGAAGCCTTGGGGAGCAGGGTGCTGTTGTTGCTAGGAGGTGGAGGATTCCTCCAGGGGTGCCCAGCCTCAGCCTGCTCCCCAGGCCCTATTGAGATAAAGGCTTCCATCTTTCTCAGTTCACTCTGCATTTCCTTCCTTCCATTTCATCTCCAACCTTTTTTGCTGATGCGACAGCCTTTCCTCACACAGCCGTGGACTGCAACTGAGATCCCGGTGAGAAGTGGCCATCAGTTCCAAGCAAGTACTGGCCAGCGCCTTCCACCCACGGGCGGTGTGCATGCTCCCCGCTTGCAGTCCCCATCCCGCCCCACCTCCAAAGACCCTCCCGCATCCCCTCTGGTCAGAGGAACCCCAGCATGGCGGGCTCCCTTCTCTGGAATGCAGATCTGAGAGGCACTTGTGCAATCAGGAAATCGTTCTCCGGAGAACAGGGCTGGCAGCATTGATCTCATTCTGGAGGAGACTCTCAGGGCTGTAAACACAGAACCACCCAGCAACCGGAAAACAGTCAGGGGCCAGAAAAACCTCGCCCCACGCAGGGCTCCGCGGGCTCCGAGCCTGGGCCCGGTGACGGCCGGGCAGCAGCACCTCACAYAGGTGATGGGGACTACAGTCTCCTTTCCTAGGCCCAGAGGGACCCACCAGCAGTGGATGGCCATGCAGAGGACGGACGGACGCCAGCTGCCGGGGTCCCAACCGCGCCTCTCTGGCCTCAGCTTTCTGGCCGCAGCTGCAGTCACCCAAGGCCTTCCTGTCTGCACTGTCTACCGTGAGGAAGCGGACTCCAGGCAGGACCTCCTGCAGTGTCGTGTTGACCCTCATTCCACCACCAGGTGAATCTGGGCTGGCTGTGAGGAGGGCAGAGGTGGCACAGTGTGACTTCAAATGATGACTCATGAGCAGTGACAGCCTCTACCTCGCGCTCCTGGACACTTGAACTTAGAAGAGTCCGCGGTGAAAGGAAGCCCAAGCAGCCACGGACAGGCCCACAGGGAGAGAAGGCAGCTCCAGCCCACAGCTGGATGCACCAAGTGTGGGCACTGCCTGGGGCAGTCCCCCAGCCCCGGCCAGCACTCCAGCTAAGCCACGAAGCAGCCCCCACCACACCTGTCACAATTGAAGTTTCTGAACAAAATAAATGTTTGTTGATGCTGTAAGCCAGGGATCGAAAACTGCAGCCTGTTCAGCAGACCTGGCCCTACCTGTCTGTACCAGTGAAGCTTGGCTGGAGCGTGGCTCTGCCTTCTCACGGCTGTGGTCTCACTCTGACAGCAGAGTGACCGTTGAGAGGGGCCAATCACTTACACACTTACCTCTTGCTCTTTTCGGAGAGCATTTGGAAGCCCTGTGTGCTGGTCTGCAAGGGCTGCCGCAGCAACTCCACAAAGCAGGGTTTAGACGGCAGACATTTACTGCCCACGGTTCTGGGGCCTGGAAGTCCAGGTCAGCGTCCCAGCTGGCTGGGTTTCTGGTAAGCACCCTTCTCCTGGCTGGCAGATGCATCAGGACCAAGTCTCCCTCCTGGCCCCTCAGCCTCTCCTCTGCCAGGCTGCCTTAGGTCTCTGTCCTCCAGGACCGGCTCTCTCTGCTCCACCACTGTGTGCTCTCTCCATCCTGACTGTCCCTTGCCTGATTCCTGACTCCTGGAAGAGGCTCGGCTGGGGTCAGCTGGGGCCAGGCCTCCACTCCTGGTGAAGCCAGCTGTGGTCCAGGCGTGGGGTCCCACTGTGACAGCAGGACAGCGGGAGGAAGACAGGATCGGCTTTTCTAGTGCAAGGAGAGGAAGCTCACTCTGAGCCAAGAGTCGGGACGTGTGTTCTGTCGATGGGACAGATGGTTTGAAACCGAGAGTGAAAAAGCTTTGGGAAAATGGGAGGCTGATTTCACTTCTTACTTAGCGAGAACTAGAACCTTCCAGAATCCCAGAGAGCACTGTCATCAGGCATTCAATTTCAAGATGAAGATGGTGAAAAGAGAAGTGGAGGGAGGGAGGGAGGAAGAGGAAGAGGAAGATAATCTAGAAGAGATTTGGATGGGTGAACAAGAAGGGAAGGCTGTGATGGTGGTGAAGGGAATGGCAATGATGGTGACGATGATGACGGTTGTGATGATGGTGATGGTGACGGTGGTGACAGTGGTGAAGTGGTGGTGATGGTGATGACAGATGTGATGATGGTCATGGTCATGTCATGGTGATGATGATGATGAGATGGTGATGGTGGTGATGGTGATGGTGGTGATGAGATGGTGATGGTGGTGATGGTGATGGTGATGGTGATGATGGTGATGGTGATGGTGATGATGGTGATGGTGATGGTGGTGATGGTGATGGTGGTGATGGTGGTAATGGTGATATTAATGGTGGTGATGGTGATGGTGATGATGGTAATGATGGTGGTGATGATGGTAATGGTGATGGTGATGATGGCAATGATAATAAGGAAGGTGAAATGGTGATAATCATGACAATGATATGATGATGGTGATGACGACGACAATGGTAAAGAATCATGTCTATGTGCTGGCTGGACTGAGCACTTAACACTTATTATCCCACTTAATCCTAAAACAACTTTATGAGACAGGTATTATTATTATCATTGTTTTAAAAAATAGAAAACTGAGGCTTAGACACGTCAAGTCACTTGCTCAAGGTGGAAATGCGCATGCAGTTAAGTCTAGAGCAAAGTTTTAAAAACATGTTCTAGTGGTAGGTGAACACAATACCTTTATTTTATTTTATGTGATGCTGAGGATCGAACCAGTGCCTCACGCATGCCAGGTGAGCGCTCTGCCACTGAGCCCAACCTCAGCCAAGGTCAGAGCACAGTTTTGCAGCCACTATACTCTTCTGTCTCAAGTGTGTAGATGCCCCCTTCTGCCTTTGCTTTTTCGTTGCTGTGACTAAAGGATGGGACCACAACAACAKTTAGGAGGAAGGTTTATTTGAGGGCTCTCCGTTCAGAGGTCTTAGTCCACAGAAGGCCGGCTCCATTCCTCAGAGCTTGAGGTGAGGCTGAGCATCCTGGCCGGACAGTGTGGTGGAGGGAGCAGCTCACAGCATGGTGATCCGCGAGCAGGAGAGACTCTCCAGATACAAATATGTACCCAAAGCCACGCCCACTGCCCCCTCCTCCAGCCACACCCACCATGYAGTCGCCACCAGCTGATCCTTGGCAGGGGTTAATCACTGACTGGTGAGACTGTCATCAGCCCTTGTTTCTCCCCTGGACCGTCTTGCAGGGTCTCACGTGGGAGCTGGGGGACACCTCCC